TTTCCGACTACCGCGCCGCCAGCAACAAGGTCTACAAGCGGCAGGTCAAGAACATGGCGCCCGACCTCGACCGGTACGAGCGCGACAAGATGGCCGCCGTCGAGCGCGCCGCCGCGTCGGGCGGCCTCGACATTGTCGAGACGGAGGACGGCGAGCTCATCGCCGTCGACAAGGACGGGTCGTTCTACTCGACGGCCGACTCGACGGGCTTTGCCCAGAACAAGCCCGACAAGGCCAACATTGACCGCCTCGTCGACGACCTGCGCCAGGCCGAGGAGGCGCGCCTCAAGAAGCGCAAGGACAGGATGGCGCAGAGCGGCGACGACGGCGACGTCACGTACATCAACGAGAAGAACAAGCAGTTCAACTCGAAGCTGTCGCGGTTCTACAACAAGTACACGGCCGAGATCCGGGACAGCTTCGAGCGGGGGACCATGATTTAGGGCGCAGACACAGGCGAGGCGGGCCATTCGCGCAGAAAAGGGGATGCAGGGATGCAGGGATGGGTCTTTTGTGTTCAAGTATGGTACAGCGAAATTATTACAGACACATGCTTCTCGCGCACGTGCTTGGTTGTTCTCTGCCTTGCTGCCTGCCTTGCTGCCTGCCTTGCTGCCTGCCTTGCTGCCTGCCTTGCTGCCTGCCTTGCTGCCTGCCTTGCTGCCTGTCTTGCTGCTGCCTCCAGGATTCACAGCATGTTTTTCCTCCACGACTTGTTGGCCAGCTCCTCGATTTGCGGAATCTCAATGGGTCCCCTGACCTTGTCGTCATCGAGAGCCTCGACGACGGCCTCGGCCACCGTCTCGACGGGCAGCGGCTTGGCGCCGCCGGCACCGAGGAGGCCGCCAAAGACACCGCCCGTAACCGTGTTGAAGAGGGCGCCGGCGCCGGTCACGGCGGCCATGGGCAGGGTGAACTTGCGCGAGCTGTCGTAGAGGAAGGGCGGGCGCATAAAGACGCCGCGCATGCGGGGGAACTCGGAGGCGATGATGCTCTCGGCCTCGCGCTTGGTGGTGATGTAACGGGCCGGCAGCACGGGGGCGCCGCCGGCGGCCGAGACGTAGACGAAGGCGCTCGCGTCCTCGGCGGCGGCCTGCTTGGCGAGCATGACGGCACTGTCGCGGTTCATGACCTCGTAGGAGAACTGGTCGGCCGGGTTGGTCGGACGGATGTTCTCCTTGCCGGGCTCCTGCTGCAGCGGGTTCACGATGCCGCGGTCCTTGACGGGGGCAAAGGCCTTTTGGAGGCCGGCGAGGGGGGACTCGCGACCGGAGATGGCGCCCTTGTAGTCGGCCTCGAGGAGGATGCCCATGCTGTGGACGACATAGTCGGCGCCCTTGAGGAGCGGCGCGTAGGTCGACGGCTGGAGCATGTCGGCGCGCTCCCAGGTCACCTTGTGGGACCAGGACGGCGGCGAGGCGGACGAGGTGACTGTGTCCCAGCGGGGTTCACCAGAGCGGCTGACCGGTTGTGAGCTGGGGAGGAGGGTTCAAGGGTGGGTTTTCTCGAGGTGTGCCTACCTGACACTTGTGACGTCCCATCCTCTCTGTACGGCGTACTTGCAGATCCGTGAGCCTAGGAAACCGTTGCCACCACAGACCACCAATCGCTTTGCTGTTGTTGCCGACATGGTGTGTGCACGCTGTGGTGGGTTCGGAGGTATGTGTGTTGATTGTGAAGTGAGTTGGCGTGTGAGAATTGCAATGGAAAAGACGAGATTCGGTACAAAGAATGACAGGATACTATCTAGATGAAAAAGAACAAAATCAGTGATCAATGAGGCCGGAATGAGGCCGGAATGAGGTCCTCAATGGTGGTTCGATGCTTGGATGAAATAGAACGAGGCACTGACGCAGCAGCTCAAGTCATGATTTCATCGAGGGTCGAGGCTGAGAATGCCGAGGGCCCCACTACAGCTGTGCCATTGGCCCCCATCGAGGCTACAGGGGTGCTGCCCACTGGCTACGCCTCTTCATTGGTTCTCCTCTTCTGACCCTGCTAAAGTGTCCCGCCATCGCGGCAAGGCTGCCGTCAAAGTCAACATGTTTCTTCAACACGTTTCCTGCCCATCGCTTTCCCCCCTCCATCATTTTTTGAGGTCATCGTCATAACCATCGCAACACCTGCATTCATAACCGTCATATCGTCCAGCCGTCATGGCGCCTCCGAGCAACCTCGGAAAACGAGTCAAGGGCACCCAGGTCTGCCGGCCCTTCATCTACGGCACCACCGCCATTCCCTTTGGTCCCCAGAACCCGAAACCGCCCGGCGTGCCTGACGACCACACACACTCGTGGCAGGTCTTCGTCAAGGGCCTCGACGACACAGACATCACCTACTGGCTCCGACGAATCCAATTCAAGCTGCACGAGTCCATCCCAAATCATGTCCGAAGTGCGTCCCCACCCTCCTTCTCTCCATCCTTCCCCCACATCCAAAGCCTCACCACCTCGGGCCTCCTGCTACCATGATTCCCCAGCACCCCTTCCTACCAAAGCAGAAAGCCCCGACTCCAGTCCGCTTTGAACGCCATGGTGAGAAAAAGAAAAAAACCGCACGACCCGTGGGTTTTGGGCGCTCGGGCGACAGCAGAGACGCACGCAAGAAAGCACCTTTCTCACCTGTTGCCACAGGACGGACCGCCTTGCGAAGGGATGGCCCTCTGGCGATGAGGGGGGGTGGGAGGACGGCGGGCAGGGGAGGCGGGGGGCGCGGGCGAGCGGGAAGAAAATACGAATCTTCGGGCATTAAGGGAAACTGAACAAGATTCAAGCTGATATTGCAGCAGATTGACACTAGATTGCTGTAGATGATCGAGTGAGATTGTTCGGTGATGATGACTTGGAGATAGACACCAAACACATGAGAACGTATAGTCATAGCGTCAGACAGACGTGACTACGTGATGATCGTTGATTTATTATGTGACCTAGGGGACCGGGTCGCTGGACGGTCAGCAAATCACATGAGTCATCGATGCGATGAGTAGCAGCTACCCGTAGACTAGTGCGCAGACTGAGCTACGATGCAGTAGACTGATGAGAATCG